GCTTTTGAATTAGGGACGACCTGGATTTTTTTTTAATTTCGAGCACTGTGAGATATTGTTTTTTGCCTCTTGAACATACATCTAACTACATGTAGTAATTCCTTTGGGGATCTGGACACTACTAAATGAAAGGTACCAATGCTACAAAATGTTATGCAAAAAAAAAGAAAAATATAGAAGATGTACATGTACAAACATAATTTACATCATTATGTGTGAAGTAATTCCAAGCATCTAAAGTACTAATTAGTTTTCTATGTATTTGCAATAGGAATCGCTACAGATGTCGCTGAGTCTTATGCCACCTAATGCTTTAGTTGGACTCATCACATTTGGTAAAATGGTAAGGACTAGCACCATTTACATGCACATTGTTATAATTTGTAGGCTGGGAAATACTTTAGCTTTTGTTATTACATGTACATGTATATGATTGATTTATTGTCCCTTGTAATAACTCAAAAACTTGGCCCAGTCAGTTGTTGTGTTCTTTGTTTTTTCTCTCTCTCTTGCTTCTGGCCATCATTTTTGTGGGCCTCATGGAAAGCGAGATTCATAAAATGGGTTCAAAGGCCATGTCTGTGGTTTGTGAGTGGCACTGAAACAGTCAACATTTATCACCAATTGCATCAACTTAAAGTAGACCATTTTAGTGTTCAAGTGTATTTAAATGACTTAATTAGCCTTTGCTTGCTACAGTACATGATACAACACCTGTAGTAACTTACTGGTAAGTACATTAATTTAACAACCACGCATACACTGTATATGTAGTTTAAGAATAACGAAAGGTCATAGGTCATTAGTTTTCTGTCATCTTGTGGGATAGGTTCATGTTCATGAGTTGGGATGTGAAGGTTGTTCCAAGAGCTATGTCTTTAGAGGAACAAAGGACCTCAATGCTAAACAAATACAGGTTTGTACAGTGTGGTATGTCTTATAATTTACATAGTGTTTTCCAGAGATAGTACTGAGTAGTGTACATGTCGTTCTAAGCTCATTCTCAGTCTACAGTAGTCTATTTCATTCACTGGTGATGAATTGTCGTACAAGTGGTACATGAATCTTGCATTAAGCAACTGGATTTATCTGTTTTACTGTATAATTTACAATCCTGAAAATGTAAGAAAGAACACTGGAGCTCTGTTTATAACATGATTTTTAACTTTCAGGACATGCTTGGCTTGGGAGGCAGTGCACGAGGACAACAGGCTCAGATGAGAGGCGGGCCTGTTCCACCACAACAACAACCTAATGAAACATTTAACAGGTACAGAAATCACTACAGCATACATGTACATGTAACTGTATAAACCACAATTTAATGAATGGATGTGCATGTATAAAGTGACTGCCAAGGAATTGCTTTTGTCTACTTTCTCGATTTCATGCACACATACATGTATTTATTGTGTCTGAAGGTTTAGAACAGGTTCATTGTTTGCTTAACTTGATGCAATTGCAATCCTAGTAAAAGTTTATCCCTTTCATGGTAGTGAACCACCATGAAGCTCTGTGTTTGCATGAGATTGGACTTCATTCTTGTTATTGTTACTAGGATATTGCAGCATTCATTTGGCAGTTTAACACAAAATCCAGTAAGGAAATGAGCATTGTTAGCTATCAATTGAACATTTTAAAAATTAATGTAATTTGGTTTTGCTTCTGTTCAGATTTCTTCAGCCAGTCCACAAATGTGACATGAGCCTTACTGATTTACTGGGAGAGCTTCAACGTGATCCATGGCCTGTTCCCACTGGAAAACGACCCCTGAGGTCCACTGGTGCAGCTCTATCAATTGCTGTTGGTCTGTTGGAGGTACAGCCAAGTTTATTTTGTACAGGTCTACATGTACACAGTTGCCCTTATAGTCTGGGGCTCATTTTACTGTATTTTGTTTTAGTATGTGCATTTTCGAGTTTCACTTTGGCTTACTACTAATTACATAATAAACTTGTGTGTGTAACTGTGATGATCAATCATTTCTTCATAACTAATTACACTTTACTACCAGAATTTTTAAGTAAGATGTAGGGCTAAGAATAAGAATTGAGCTCACACTTGACCTGCAGAAAGAAATAGTGCCCCAGTCAATAACTTGATCTTATTCATAATCTGCAAATTATACAAACTGTTGTCTCTATAGTTGTGAAGGAACTTACTGATGATTTTGTAAACAATGCAGTTCAAGTGCTGTTGTACTGAGTAACATTGTATGTTCACAGTGTACGTACCCCAACACTGGTGGAAGGATCATGCTGTTCATGGGTGGACCTGGAACACAGGTAGCTGCTGTAAACAATATTGATTGTCATACCAGATTACCATGCATTACAAATTGTACAGATTAAATTCAGTTCAGTTTAGTTTAGTTAGAGGTACATTCAGCTTACCGGTAGTTGGTTAACATGAAATAGTATTTATGAAGCTTGACAGCTCAACAGCTCTTCAGATTTTAAATGCATGAAGAAATTCTGAAGGTCGTTGCTACTGTACTCCTCCTAGATTAGAGATTCAACATTGCGTAAAATTTAGTATACATACATGTACAGTTGATACTTGATACTCGATTGACATCTTGTTGATGCATGTGCTTATAAGTCACAGAAAGGCTGCCACATTGTTTTTGGATATCTGTTACCACATTACTTGTTGATGTGAATTTGCCCAAATAACTTACATGTTCTCTTTTGATCTGAAGTCCTGTGTATTTGTCATTATGCTAGTGCATCGCACAAATACTGTGTACACGTTAATTAGTGTCATTTTAGATATGCTGTGAAACTACAAATATTTGTCGTTGACATCACTAGGGCCCAGGTATGGTGGTTGATGAGGAGTTGAAGAATCCAATGCGATCACATCATGACTTGGAGAAAGAAAATGCAAGATATGTCAGGAAAGCTATCAAGGTATTACAAGAAGATATTGTGATAAAATCGCTATTTCACACTTTCAGTCTTTTAGAACAGTTACTAATGGCCTTTTGGTAATTAATTTTTGTGATTCTCCAACTTGCAGCATTATGAAGCATTGTCAAGACGCACAGCAGAGAATGGCCATGTGGTTGATATATTTGCATGTCAGCTGGATCAGACAGGACTGCATGAGATCAAGAGTTTCCCCAATGTGACTGGGTATGTATGCATCACAGCTTTTCTCTCCACTCCATGTTCATCTCTGATGGGGTAGCCTGTGCAGATGCGATGTTAGACGTTCTCTTCCTCCCCTCAAGAGACGTGCAAAGTTCAGTTGTACCAGAAGAAATTCATTCTGATAAAAACTGTACATGTACATGTAGCTCCACAGAGACCCAGGTATTGTCTGTAATAAATTGATTAATGCAATTGAATATTCAAAGCCAAGCAATAACTAACTAATGACTCTGTAGAGATACATGCACATGTATCTTATAATGTTAGCACTCACGAGGGGACAAATCCCCCAGGATTTCATGAGAACCACATTTACCCATTTTTTTTTTCAAAAACATCTATTTGCAGTGATAAAATTTGGTCTCTTGGATTTGTTCCATGAATTCAACCTTTTGCCTGGTCTGTTGGGCATAAGCCTGTCTGACCAAAATAATGAAAAATAATAACCTGACAATAATAGCCTTTGCCCATAGAGTTTGCTCTTTCCCTGTACAATAATTCCCCTTGTGTAAGCACTACAAGGGCAAAGGACTTATACCTACAACCAGTCGCATTGTGTAACTTCTTCAACAGACTTGTGCCTTCATGTGGGCTGACTTAAAACTAAAAAAAAAAAAATTGCCCGGGTCATTATTAGACCTCTTTCAAGTGAGTTAAGAATTTATTAAATGAGGAAAGCAGTTTGTTGACTGAGGCCTAACTTGCACTGTTAGCTGTATCAGGGTTGACTTTGCCTCTCTGTCTTACAGTATGACATTTCAATTTTGTTTGATTTTTTGTCTTCAGAGGTTACATGGTGATGGGTGACTCATTCAACACAGCACTTTTTAAACAGACTTTCCAAAGAGTTTTTGCCAAAGACATGCGAGGAGAGTTTAAAATGGCTTTTGGTGCAACACTTGAAGTGAAGGTTAGTTTGTATGTAGTGGACATGTACAATAATGTGTTTCAGTGGAATCTTTTATCCCCAAAGGTTCTTGAGACATTCTCACTTCTAAATATCCCTTCTTAGCCGAAAAATCAATCATCTCTAAACTGTAGCCTGTTCGCCTGCTAAGAAGTATTCTTTCGCACCACTCACTTGAACTTGCCCTTGTCCAGTCCAAGAACGGCCTACATGTACATGTAAATTCTACTTCAGTTGTACTTCAGTGGAGCCACATCAATCCAGTCACCAATAGGTCACAAAAATCTGCCTTATTAACAGAGTAAAGGGGTTGCTAGCCTGCGTAGCAAGCGTTTCTGTGGGGTTCGGGAGCAAAGAATTACAGCGCGAAAAATGGAGCGAGTAAAAGAGGGGGGAGGGGGACCACCCCCCTCTTTCTTTTATTTGGCTCTCGCCCCATTTTCCACGCAGACAAAACACTGAAAATCCCATTCCTCAGGCTTTCTTTGCTTCCAAACCCCACGGAAACACTTGCTATGCAGGCTAAGGGGTTTCTTAAATAAGTAAATGACTGACTGAGCTTTTGTTTGGGTGAGAATAAAGAAGTTGTTAGTAGTAACGAGGTGGCTGTATTAACTGGGTTGCCATAGGGCAGGGCTCAGCTGTATGATCTAATGGTTATTGTTGTTGGTTTAGACTTCAAGAGAGTTGAGAGTATCAGGAGCCATTGGACCCTGTATATCAATGGACAGAAAAGGACCAAATGTATCAGAAACAGTAAGTCAGTTCTTTAAAACATGTTAAGATAAGATAGAAAAGTGCATCTAGCTAGCAATTCTTGAGAAGAGAAAAAGCAGCAGAAAAGAGCACTTTCTGATATGCTTACTTTGGCAAAAAGGATGTTTGAAACTGGAAAGTGGATGGATAAAAAGGGATGCGAAGTTTTATGTCAGAAGTTCTTACATGTAAATTTAGTTGCTCAATCTTGCGAGTTGTTCATGAATATGGAAATTATGTATAGGTGTGTTGGAATGCAGTGTAACAGTGATGCTTGCCTGCTTGTGTGCTGTTGAACTTTGCTTTGTGATCTTCTGTTTTGTGTCAATCTTTTTCAGGAAATTGGTGTTGGAGGAACTTGTGCATGGAAGCTCTGTGGATTGGAGCCTCAAACAACACTGGGAGTTTTCTTTGAAATAGTAAACCAGGTAAAACTTATGAATTTGATTGGATTTGGTTGTTATTTGCTGCAAAATAAAGGTTGGTAATAGTAACTGGACCAAGTGGAGTACAATTCAGGGAGTAATCACACGAGTAATTTCAAAATTGGACGAGCATGAAGTGCAAGGCCAATTTGAAATACAAGCATTGGATTATGTGGATTGGGTGACAAGCAACCCCCTTTTGAAAAAGCAAAAAATTAAAAAAAAATTGAATTAAATTGTGAACATTATAGCAGAAATGAGGGGAAACCTTCTGGACAGTCACCTCAATGTTATTTCTACTTTGTGGCATTGCTACATGTAGTGTTATTTTGTGGTGTAACAGTTTTAAATTAGGTTCCAATTCTCAAATGAGTTGAAATATTTTTGGGGCATGCCCCATTAATTCTTCAACGCAAAGGTACCATCCAACCCCACTTGAAAAATCCTGGATCCGCCCCTGTTGTTCCCCACTTTTTTTTTAACTCTTTGGCCTAAAGGATAAGTTCATTTCAGCAGTTTAGACATGCAATTTATTTTGCATTAGATTAGAATGGACTTGGTAAATACAAGTACATTATATCTCTCAAAACATCTTTAATATCAAGTGTATTTGGAAAAAAAAATAATTTGAACGTGAATTTATCATCAAACTTGATAAATTAATTATGACACTTTTTTGTTTGCTTTTTTAAAATAATTTCAGCACACAGCACCAGTCCCCCAGGGTGGACGAGGCAGCATACAGTTCATCACACAGTACCAACATTCCAGCGGTCAGCGGAGAGTACGAGTCACAACATGCGCACGAAACTGGGTAGAGTCGTCAAGTATTCAACACATTGCTATGGGTTTTGACCAAGAGGCTGCCGCTGTTATGATGAGTAGAATAGCTGTGTTCAGGTATGTGTTCAGTGGAAGATTTTTTTTTTTATAGAAAGGATGAAGGAGAGATAGAAAAGCACTCTTATCTCCAACCTCTACAGGATTATTAGACATCTGGATTTCTCAGAGAGACAGACTGGTTACAATGAATGTTACAACTTCATGGTCAGGGCGTATTTTTGTATTCTTTACAGATGTACATTTTACTTGTATCACTCAATCACTGCATGAAGGGTATACATAACATTATATGAAGTTACCATGTACTTGGTTGCCACAGCTTCAGATACATGTATTAGGGGACTTTAGATTTGGATACGAGTATGTCTTCGAGTACGAGTACGTCTTTCAATTCTAGCACAGACTTCATAACACCACATCACATACCCATCTCATCTCATGGGCTACCCTTCCTTTCCTAAAACCAACATGAAGAGCGAGGGGTCTGGAAACGTCACTGGTTTGAAATTCGAAAATTGCACTCGTACTCAGTCTCGTACTCGTAGTCCAACTCTTGGTCATTTCGTTTCTTGGCCACTTTTTTTTTGGGTTGGAGGGAGGGGGGGTATACCCTTAACCAAGGTACAAGGGTTCCTTTTTGGTAATACAACACCAAAATGAAAGAAGGATGGTTATTTAAATTTTGAGGAAGATTGAGACGAATAAAAGCAACATTTTGGGCAAATTATCAAAATGCCCCATTCATTGTGTACATGTACATGTAGGCTCTTTTAGTGAGATCTTCTTTAAAAACTTGGAATATCTCGATACAAAAAATCTTCAGTGTTGCTTGCGCGTTTTTGAAACTTAAAATACCTCTTGATATAGAGTAATGTTATTGTAATGTCCTGTATTGTTTTACTTCCTGACATTATCTTTCTGCCTCATTATAGAGCCGAGGGGGATGATGGTCCTGACGTGTTACGGTGGTTAGATCGCATGCTCATCAGATTGTGTCAGAAGTTTGGTGAATACCACAAGGATGATCCAGGATCATTCCGTCTGGCGGATAACTTCACTTTATATCCACAGGTACAGAAATGAAATGAGTTTTCTTTTCTTCAATCCCTCGAAGAAAAGATGGCATTCTTGAGCTCCCCCGTTAGAATTACCTAGAGACTCCCCTCCCCCTCCCCCAGAGTCTGTATGAACGTTCGTACGTTGACGTCATAACCAAATTATCTCGGCTTGATGGCTTACCAAATTCTCTTACCCATGGCATTCATTTGGCTTTTAAGTTTAAAATCGTTAAAACAAAAAAAAAAATAATAATAGTTTCAATACATGGACTTCAAGTAAACCCTATTCAGGTCTTCAAGCCAAAAGAGAAAGAATCATACAATGTAGTTTATATTGACTGTACATTGTAGATACAGTGGTATTTGGTTGTCTTTTTCACGACAAGCCATTGTTCAGAAGCATTAAAACAAAAAATAATCAGTTTTAATGGAAGTTCATTTAGTCCGATTTCAAGCCTAAAGAGAAAGAATCTAGTTCATATTGACTATAGATACATGTGGTGTTTGGTTATCTTTTTCCGACAACACAATCTTCGGACGCATTAAGTTAATTAAAGCTTCTTGATAGTATGCCTTCTCTTGAAATAAAGAGGTGAAGAACAAGGAGACCATAGCTGCAAATTTTTAGACGATTTGATTAGCACGCGTGTAAACGGTTGGTGATTCAGGAAACGAAAGACTAGATCTTCCTCCACGTATTTGTGTTTCGCTTGTTAAATGTGTGTTACCCTTTACCTTACAGTTCATGTTTCATCTAAGACGTTCACAGTTTCTTCAAGTGTTCAACAACAGCCCCGATGAGACAGCTTACTACAGGTAGTGATTTCATCGAACTTATAGCTTAAAGCAGCGAGGTCACGGTTTGCCCATCTTGAAAAGTTTAGCCTAAAACTTTCACGTTCTTCGTTTGTTATCCGTATTGATCTTCTCCATCTTAAACCACCCTTGTTCCTTTATGGGTTACTATAATCTCTTTAGTATTTTTCTATTTTAGTAAACTACTATTTTCCGGTCTCCTTCAATTTAAAGGTCATTTTTTACGCTGGCCAAAAATAACTCAAAATGCCCTGACTGAACTCCTTTTAGACGGTGTATTTTCAAGCGGATTTATAACTCTGTCAGTAATTTTATGTAGCGAAAATAATCCACATTGTTTTGACTTGATTCGTGTGAACAGTTGAATGGTAGAATATTCCGCATTCACACCTCCACTCCATCACGGTCGTAGAGGTGTTGGTAGTTGCAAGGGGTTTTGTCAGAGATGGCTCAGAATGACCATAACACACCGTTTTGTTTTCTTTTCTACAGACATATTTTGAACCGAGAGGATGTGACCAACTCGTTGATTATGATTCAACCTATTTTGTACTCGTATTCCTTCCAAGGACCTCCCGAGGTAAGTTCAGAAATTATAATAAGCAGTTAAGGTTTAAATCATAACTGCTTATTCGGAACAGTTAAGTTTTGCAGGCATTCTGTTGATGAGAGGGGTTCAAGGTACTGCCCGCACACAGTTCTCGTCGTCGTTCCCCCAGAACTGCAGCTGAACGTCTCAAATATCCAAACTCCTCCCGTTTCAAGCCAAATGTTCAGACAGTCACTGACAAGTTGCGCTTTGTACCTCGCATACATGAATGCACTGAGGATGTAAACAATTGCTTTCCACCTACATTAGGTTATTCGCCCGTAATTTGATATACCACTGCTCGTTTTAAACCGTTCTCTAACAAAACTCTGGCGCATTTTCGCTTCAAACTCTTACAAACTTCGTTGCCGATCACAAGTAAACACGAATAATGCAGTAAACCAATTGGAGTGGAAGTGTTTCTTGGAGTCATCGTAGAATTCTGAAATCGTCAGTTAACGGGAAAGATGTTTTAATTGCGTTCTTATCAAAGTTATTGTGTAAGAAATAATCATTGTGGTAATGTTTCTCATGTCGCGTTCTTTTTCAGCCGGTATTACTAGATTCTAGCAGTATCTTGGCAGACAGGATTCTTCTCCTGGACACGTTCTTTCAGATCCTTATATTCCACGGAGAGGTGGGTATTTGGTAAAATTCTGATGCGTGTACTGTGCAGTGAATGCAGAGATAAGCACGGAATTACTAATTGTTTTCCATAAAAGAGGAAAAGAATACAACATACTACCGAAACAAAGCTATAACGTATTACTCGAAGTTTATTTTTAGTAACATTATTATTATTGGCTGGAATTATCTGTTCTTGTTCTGAGAGGTTCCCATTCGTTCGTTCGTCGTTCGTTGTACGTCGTTTATTGTTCGTCGTTCGTAGTTCGTAGTTCGTCGTTCGTTCGTTCGTCGTTAGTTTGTTCGTTCGTTCGTTCATTCGTTGGGAGCATATAAGACATATTAATATGATTTCAATTAAAAAACCTTAAACTTGATGACTAAAACTCTTAGTTCGCTTTTTGTTGCTCCTCCAGACGTTTTTAACCATCGTGTAATCAAATCGCCCGGCAGATGTTGGATGATAATGCTACTAGATAGCGACCGTGATTTCTTTTGATTTTTGTTCCCATCTCAGACAATTGCACAGTGGAAAAAAGCCGGCTACCATAATGACCCTCAGTATGAAAGTTTCCGTCAACTTCTCCAAGGTCCTGTGGATGATGCGGGTGAGATCCTTCAGGTCCGATTTCCAATGCCAAGATACATCGAGACCGAGCATGGCGGCTCTCAGGTACCACTCTTATTCTTTAATGTTCTCTTAATTTTCCTAAATCTGACTATGCGCGAGAAACGTAGTCTTGAAGGGAACTTTATACGTTGAACCAAATCCTTAGTCCTTGGCATAGTCGACTGACTGTTGTCACTGAAACTGCACCTTAAAAAAAATCAATTGTTTTATTAATTACCATCTTTATTGTCCTCTGTCGTAACAATGGTCGCTTATTTCGGGTTATTTTTACTTTTTTGTTGGTTTTTCTACCTGACAAAACTAGACCAATGACTTTCTAGCACAAAATGCAGTGGTTGTTTTCTACAGGCGTCTGAGATTCGAGTAGAAAAATTGCATCTCAGCGCAATATAAATCTATTCGTTGCTCTGGTTGGCTGTTATCTTATCAGTGGTGATTTTTCATGCTGAGTAAAGACCAGTCAGAGACACCAAGAATTTCATAGGATAAGTGCTCAGCTATCGGTTTGAAATTTTTCACCTTGACTCCTGAGCGCCTTTCCCTAACCAAGGTATGGCAGTAACTGTAAGTGCTGGACAAAAAAAGCCTTAGTCACTGTTTTTAAAAACCCTTGGACACTGTTTTGAGGTCATTAATTTTGTATCTTCTATTTTTCCAGGCTCGTTTCCTGCTGTCTAAAGTGAACCCTTCACAGACGCATAACAACATGTTCGCCTGGGGTCAAGATGCTGCTGGTGCGCCTGTCCTTACTGATGACGTCAGTTTACAGGTGTTCATGGAACATCTCAAGAAACTGGCCGTGTCCAACACTTCTTAAACATTCCCCGCGAATATCCCCGGGATCATTCCTTAAGAATTTCCCTGGGAGGATACCCTGGGGAGAAATTCCCTACAGAAGGCTCACAGGACAAACAACTTGGAGAATTCCTGGGGAATATATTCTTGGGGTGCCCCCCCCCCCCCTTTTTTTTTTTTTTTT